AGGGTCACAGTCACCTAGAGCCCTTTTTAAAAAGTGCACATGTCCAATGTTACCACCACAGTGGCTGTCTGCCTGCTCTGCATTGATTCCATTGTCCTCATGTTCAGGTCAGCCTAAAGGAAAAAATGTGGCATCTTCCTTAAAGAGAAGTATATAGGAAGCTGGGCTCGGTGGCTTAGCCTGTAATCCCGTGCCTTTGGAAGACTGAGATGAGTGGATTGCCTGAGCCCGTGGTTTCGAGACCCGCCTGGGCAACTTGGTGAGACCTCATCTCTACAATAAAAGCAAAAAATGAGCTGGGTGTGGTAGTGCGCGCCTGTAGTTCCAGCTACTTGGAAGGCTGAGGCGGAAGGATCGCGGCCATTGCACTCCAGTCTGGGTGACAGAGTGAGACTCCAACTCAAAATTTAAAAAAATTAATAATAAGAAGTATTATATAGGCTCCCCAGGCTTAGAAAGGAAATATCCAGAAAGAAGGCATTTCTCATTCAGACAGCATTTTCGAAGCAGTTTGAAACACATAAAACAGAATTCCTTTCAAATAATCTGAATGTCCTGGCTCTCAAAATAAACTATTTTTAGTGCCTAAAGTAGAAAAATTAAGTTTTTAAAAAATTGAAGCCGGGCTCGGTGGCTCAGCCTGTAATCCCGCGCCTTTGGGAGGCTGAGGTGAGTGGATTGCCTGAGCCCGCGGGTTCGAGACCCGCCTGGGCAGCGAGACCTCATCTCTACAATAAATCAAAAAAATCAGCCGGGCATGGTAATGCATGCCTGTAATTCCAGCTACTTGGAAGGCTGAGTCGGAAGGATCACTGGAGTCCAGCAGGTCGAGGCTGCGGTGGCCGGGAGCGGCCACTGCACTCCAGTCTGGGCGACAGAGTGAGACTCCAACTCAAAAAAAAAAAAAAAAAAAAAAAAAATTGAATGAGTTGCTTGAGTTCTCCGAGATTCTTACTAGGATGTGGAACTATAATTCCATTCTCAAATGCTCCAAAACTGCCCCCCTTTTCCTCCTTGTACTTCTCATCAGCACTAACTAGTTATGGCACTGAATCCCCAGTAGCCCAAGTATGCCTTGGGGTTTAGTTCGCAAGTGTATATCAGACTACATGTGTCGCAGGACTTTTGGCAAGAATGTCAAATTACATTTTCAAGTAATGCTTTTTAGAAATGGAGACAGGATAAGTGGTACATTCGGGATTATTTGGCTAAAAGTAGCCTATTAGAGTGGGAACTTTGCATTGAGGGAAAGTTGACTTTGCCCAGCAGAAACATTAACCAAGTTATCTACCTAGTTGTCATCCTTTGCACAAGGCAAGACTTTCACCATTAGAAAAAGTCTTTCTAGAACGATCTAAGATGAGAGTACACTATTTTTTTTTCTTTTTTAACTTAGATATCACCAAAACAAAGATATACTCCAGTGTTCAAATATAAGCAGGTCTCCATAAGTTCCTGCTGAGGGACCCTGGTGGATATGAGATGGGTGGAGTGTTTGGGCCACACTGGGCCTTTTATGTGTGCCAATGCAAATGGTGTTGTCTGCTTTCAGCAGGTTACCAGTACAATGCTGCTACCCTTTTTTGAATGGTGTATCCTTACTTGGTGTAAATTTCCTTTGGATAAGTTTATTTTATTTTATTTTATTTTTTGAATAAGAGTCTTACTTTGTCACTTAGGCTGGAAGACAGTGGCATGCTGCTCATAGCCACCCCAGCTTCATCCTGCTGGACTTAGGTGATCCTCCCTCCTCAGCCTTCTGGAACTACAGGCATGTGCCACCATGCCCAGCTAAATGTTTTTGTTCTATTGTAGAGATGAGGTCTTGCTATGTTGCCCAGGCTGTTTTTGAACCTGCAGGGTCAGGCAATTCTCTCGCCTCCACCTCCCAAAGTGCTGGGATTACAGGCATGTCCGACTTGGATAAGTTTAAACTTCTCAATGTCTAGCACCTTCTTCAGTGGAGAAAATTATTCTTTCCTGCTGTCTCCTAGTATTTTCCTGTGCGCCTCTCTCTCTCTCTTTCTCTCTCTCTCTCTCTCTCTCTCTCTCTCTCTCTCTGTGTGTGTGTGTGTGTGTGTGTGTGTGTGTGTGTGTGTGCGCGCGCGCACATGTATTGGGTATAGGGAAAAGTGTGCTTTCCTTTGGACTTAGAAGCCTATTTTGATAGGATCCAGCAAGTGACCCTTATATGTGTGAATCTTGTTAAGATTAAGTGAGCACAGTTTGTTTTTCAAACTCATGGATTGTTTTGCTCTGGAAATTCATGTATACCACAGTGGAATCTTTGCAGGGGCTTGAACAATAACCTGTCCTATGATGAATTTTAGATTGTGACAATCTTTAAAAAGTATCTGTTCTCTTGTGAAGTAATTCACGTATTTAGTCCTATGTAAAGTCCTCATTCTGAGCATTCCAATTCATTTTTATAGGGGGCATAAATGTGATATGTTTTATGTAGTACAGCTATAGCACTGTACTGTTTGGGATCCTACATATTGTTTTATGTGTCAAGACTGTAATGGAGGAAACCTTTGCCTCAACCCTAAAGCCAGAAGACAACTGAGTCTCTCTCTGTTAATTATGTCTCCCAGTACCAAAGGCCTGCTGTGAAGTTGTTAAGCCAGTGAAGAGGCAGTTTTGTTTTTGGTTGTAACAAAGGTGTTTCCATAAAACTGAGCCTTAGCAGCCCTTCTTCTTTCACTAATGAGATATAAGATATTCTGCAACTTCACAGCTAGCTCTAAGCTCTTATTACAAAATCTGTTTTCTCCTTTTTTTTTTCTGTTAGAATAATCTGTTGACCAAGGTTTTCAGAAATGCCAAAAGAAACTTTTAGCAGTTTTTGGATAAGGAAGTTGTTTGAAGATTGCTGCTGTTTCCCCCTTCCTTACATAGTTTTTTTAATGCTGCTACTTCTTTCTTCTGGCAGTAACACTCCCCTACTTTTTAATTGCCAGGAAGGAAGAATAATCGGGAACATATATGATTATGTAATTATTTGCATATGTGCAGTTGACAATCGAATGTGAGTCAAGTATGTTAGTCAAATAAATTGCCAACTCCATTTTATCTGAAATACTCCCCTACCCTAAAGCTATTTTAGTATCTTTGTTAGATGACCTGTTTCCTGTGAGACTATATAGCCACGAAGCTGCCATGGCCAGTTCATGGCCCATCTTGTTTCTCATGATTAGTGTTGTCAGAAAGATTTGCTTTTCATTCTCCAACCTTTTGTTTCTTGGATACACTTGGCATTGACTGATTCGCTTGTCTTTGTCTTCACTACTCATTCCTGAGTTCCTGAAATCTTGATTCTTTTCAGACCTCTTTTGACCTCTTTTGACTTATATGTAGCATGGACAGCAATATCAGAAGGAATAGTAAAAGGGAATTTTTGTAAACATGTACAAAATTATATCATGCCAATTAATATTGGAGTGACTAAAGTGATAGTAGCTAGTGGGGTTGATTTTGGGGGGAGGCACTGCATTTCTTGGCCATTATGAGAGAAGAGGCGTTGTCTCTTCAAAGCACAATTTTTGTTCTGTGACAGAGGAGAACAAGGGAAGAACTCTGGAGGCTTATAGACGGAACCCTGCCAAGCCTTCACTTCCAAACTGCAAGCAGAATAAACTTGGTGTAAAGGATGGAGAGACTTCGTGGGTTGGGCTGCTGTGGAGTGATGTGTCTTTGACATTTCCTTTGACTCTTAGGGCTACATACAGATTACATTTATTGGAAACTGCTAGTCTGTACTGGGATGAATGCTACACTAGTATGAGCAGCAGAATCATAAGGAAGATATAGTCTCTGACATCTGCACAGAAGACACTAGATTTTTTAAAATCCTCAAATCGAAGATCAAGTATTACTATACCTTTTATGGAATTTACCTAGGCTCAGATTATCCTGAAATGCAGGAATCCCTTTGCTTCCCCACAAATACATGTATTTGCACAGTTTTTAGTTGTTGTCATCTATTTTACAATTCATTCTTCATTCATTAAATTCTCTCTTAGAGCAGAAACTCCCAAATCTGGTAAAACTTGGTCTTGTTTGTTTGATTTGTACAGTATTTAGCCTAGAATCTCAATCTCAGGGAATTTAGAAAAAGACTTCAGTTGACACTGAATGCTACTTGATTGATTGATTGATTGATTGAGTCAGAGTCTCACTCTGTTACCCAGACTGGAGTTCAGTGGCAAACTCACGGCCACTGCAGCCTTGACCTGCTGGGTTCAGTTGTTTCTTCTGCCTCAGCTTTCCAAGTAGTTGGAACCACAGGCGTATACCATGACACCCGACTGATGTTTTGATTTATTGTAGAACCGAGGACCTGCCAAGTTGCTCAGGCTGGTCTCAAACCCCTGGACTACAGGTGTGAGCCACCATACCCAGATGAATGCTACTTTATTGATCACACCAATTTTCCTATGGTTTAGCCACCTCCTAGATTTGGAAAGTTCTCTTGCCTTTCAGAGGGAGTTTTATTATTTTATTTTTTCAAGGAAGTAATACATGTTTCTAGACTTCATGAAACTTGTTAGATACACATGATGGCCAAGCATGGTACATGGTTGTCCCTGCTACTCAAGAGACAGGTGGGAGGACCGCTTGAGCACAGGAGTTCTGGGTTGTAGTGCGCTATGCTGATAGGGTATCTGCACTAAGTTCGGCATCAATATGGTGACCTCTTGGGAGCCTAGGGATCACTAGGTTACCTAAGAAGACATGAAGCATCTCAGGTCGGAAGCAGACAGAGCAGGTCAAAACTCCTGTGATGATAAATAGTAAAATGGAACCTTCACTTCAGCCTTGGCAGTGAGACCCTCATCTCTTAAAAAAAGCAAAACAAAATGTGAGGCCTGGGCTTTTTTGGCAGGAGCCTTACAGACTGAAATGAAGCAGGGTGTATGAACCTAAATCAAACCCTTCTCTACTGGACTCAATGAATGATGATAGAGATTGACTGTCCTACATTTTATCTTCCAGGTGATCATTTGAAGATCTGTCCACAAGGTTACACCTGCTGCTCTCAAGAGATGGAGGAGAAATACAGTCTACAAAGTAAAGATGATTTCAAAAATGTGGTCAGCGAACAGTGCAATAATTTGCAAGCTGTCTTTGCTTCACGTTACAAGAAGTTTGATGGTATGTTATTCATGTCACATTTAAGAGCTGACAGTTAAGTATGTACAATAACTTTTTCAGATCTGCTCCTCTTTCTCTCAGTACTTAAGTTTTCTCTCAAGATGTTCTCCTTGTTGGATATCAGGGGCAAGTTAGCCCTGTAGTTTTATTGCTAGAATCTGTCCGGTTGCACTGGAATCTATATGGTAGGCATTATGGAAATATCATAAGAAGCCAAAAAATAGATTAGTTTTATTTAAATGCTTTCATTCATTTTCTTGGGTGAACACAAAATAGTGTTGTTGACGCAAGTCCCTTAAAAAAAAAAAGACTTCCTAATAAAAAGCAGGCATCCGAAAACTGTCTTAGTCAAAATAACCAAAGAGATTTTACAGATGCTAGACTTCAAATTAAATTTCAAAATGGATCCCTAAAGACAACTAGAATTCCTAGAAGCTCTGCAGAACTCAGACAGGATTAAAGCCGGGCCTTCGGTGTCCCCGCAGCAGCAACCCCAAAGTGGCTATTATTCTATAGTCTTTATTACTTACACTAGGCTCCATCCCCAGCTTCATGTTAGCTGGAGCTCTGGCATAGTCTTTACATGTAAAAGCACAACATAACCCATTCTAATCCCCTCCACTAGACGTAGCTTCCCTCATGCACACTTTCTTTTAGTAGTAAAGAAATAGCCAATATGAGCCAATTGCAAGGCACTTCAATCCTATCTGAAGCACTGTTACAGATAACAGACTTTAAAAAACAGAATACAGCATCCAAAACACCTCAGGATTCCTTTGTCTGGTATTGTTCTCTCAGTTTTGAAGATTGTTATGAAGTAGATTTAGTTTTAATAGGAATGATTTCCTTTGTGCCTGTTTTAAAGGCCATTCTAATTACATAGTACCTTTGAAGCATGCTTTTCTTGACATTATGTGTGGTGAAGAGGTACAAGGCAAATTTTCTAGATATGAAATGTCTTTGAGTATTTCTGCAAAGGGCTTGTTACCATGGTGAGAAAGATAGACCAAATTAGATTTGATGTAGCTGATAAGGCAGTCCCCAGCTAAAGAACAGGTTGCATCGCAAATGTTGGCTTTGAGATTTGTTATTTCAAATTTACAACCAATTTAATAAGTATTAGGCTAGATCACAAAAGCATACTTATTTTTTTGTTTTTTTGGTTTTGAGTTGGAGTCTCACTCTGTTGCCCAGACTGAAGTGCAGTGGCCGCTCCCAGTCACCACAGCCTCGGCCTGCTGGGGCTCCGGCGATCCTTCCGCCTCAGCCTTCCACGTAGCTGGAACTACAGGTGCACGCTACCACGCCCAGCTGATTTTTTGATTTTACTGTAGAGATGAGGTCTCGCCAAGTTGCCTAGGCGGGTCTTGAACCTGCGGGCTCAGGCAATCCACTCACCTCGGCCTCCCAAAGCGCTGGGATTACAGAGTGAGCCACCAAGCCTGGCCACAAAAGCATACTTAATCCATAATATAATTGAATTAAAACCTTGTCTGTAAAGTCAACCATTGATCCCATTTTTTTCAAACATTCTGTATGCAAGTGTGTCTTAAATATATCTCTTTTCCCTGGATGAATGGGAATAATTTATATATCCATATATTCTCCTTATTACCTATACCACCCTATACATATGATTTAACTGTTAAGAGTATTTAACAGTATGTTAACACCATGTGAAAATGGGTGCTATTGGCAAACTATATTATAAGACTACCTCTGTCTTTCTCATTCACTAAATTGTTATTATTCTTGAAAAGAATGGTATTTTTTTGACCATGTCACTTGTCATTGAAAATAATAACCTAGCCGGGCTCAGTGGCTCAGCCTGTAATCCCGCGCTTTGGGAGGCTGAGGTGAGTGGACTGCCTGAGCCCGCGGGTTCGAGACCCACCTGGGCAACTTGTCGAGACCTCATCTCTACAGTCAGTCAAAAAATCAGCCGGGCATGGTAACGCATGCCTGTAATTCTGGCTACTCGGAAGGCTGAGGCAGAAGGATCGCCGGAGTCCAGCAGGTCGAGGCTGCGGTGGCCTGGAGTGGCCACTGCACTCCAGCCTGGGCGACAGAGTGAGACTCCAACTAAAAAAAAAAAGAAAAAAAAAAAAAAGAAAATAATAACCTAAACATTTTCTTTTACTTTAGGGAGAAAACTTAGATAATTAGATGGTCGTCTTTGAAAACTTAAGATGCTGATATTTTAAAATTAGGGGCTTCGCAATGGAATTTAGAAGGGAAAAAATCCTGCCCATTAGAGATGACTCTCCTGTTGGAAGCATGTAGTAAAGATAGAGCTGTTCCCAAGTTCCAAGGCCATCTACTCCAAGTGACCCCAGTTCTTTTGAGACTTGTATCTTCCTGGCATAGAGCCCATAATCATTGCCTATGGGCCTGCTACATTAGCTATTCTTCTCCTTTCTTGCTCCCTGTGGTTTTATAGCAGTATTCCTGTTATTCCAATGTGTAGGGGTCTTTTTTAAAATCATACAGAGAAACTTTATCAGTAAGTGTTAGCATATGTTTTTTGAAAAGGACAGAAAAACAGTTTCTCTTGCTCTTCTCTACCAGGCTTCACATTCAATATGTTAACATGTGCCTTTATCAGTTTCAAAACTTATCAGGAAAACTGATTATAAAACTCTAGTTTGTTTCTTCTGATTTCAAGTTAGAATATGGCAAGTTAGTGAACATAGATTTTTTTTTTAAATAGATAGTAGCTAAAATGTGTTTGATCTGGAGATCAGAACAGAGCTGGAATACTTTGCACATTTTCTACAAGTTAAGTTGTCTGAAATGATGAAATAATGTTATATGGTAAAACCTCAGTTGACTGGTAGTCAGCAGACCATAACCCTGTAGTGGGTGCCATACTGACCGATTGATTTTTAAAAGGCAATCTATTAAAGCCTGCCAATACTTCTCGAGGCCTAATGATCCAAGGATCTTCACTGTCATAAATCCAAGATTTATGGATGCTTTGATCAAATAATTGGCTAAACTATTATAAAAGCCAATCCCTGGGTCTTTGATGGGAATAGAAGAGAAAATGTTGGGCAGAGTAACAAGATGGTGGATGGGGAACTGAGATGGAGCAGTGAGGTTGCACAGCGACTGCTGGTAACATGTAGTAAGGAAATAGCAAACTGACAGACGAAAATATTCTAGGCCAACCAACTTCAAAGGAACTTGTTTTGTCATCTCCAAGCTTATGGTGTACATTCAAAGTGATGACCTTGACCCTAGGCAACTTTCTCAATCGTCAAAACTTGTCTATGTCTATGAGATAACACATTTTTCTAGGGAAGAAACAATTACTTTTTAAAAATAAACTTCCCAATAAAAATAAGGTTCAAGGGCTTGTAGGGAGTTAGCCTTCTGTTACCAGAAATCATTCCATTGAGGGATGAATGAATCCCTTTGACAGTTCTCTTATCTCTAAGGTCCATTTTTGTTTTATACTTTTAAATTTCTATTGTTTGTACTTCTCAAGAGGCGATACAATCTGTCAATCTTTTTTTTAAGTTATAAACTGTGTGTGTGTGTGTGTGTGTGTGTGTGTGTGTGTGTGTGTGTGTATGTGTATATATAGACCTGGGTGAAGTACAAAGGAGCACTTTCTTTGGCAACATTTCTCCCTACCCCCAGCAAAATTCTCAGGTTTCCCATATTTTAAATATGTACCTCTGTGTTAAGGACTCGCCGCTGTATTTTTCTATACTGTAATTTTTTAAATCCATTGTTTAACTTAGAGTGTTCATTACTAGAAATCTACCATCGCAGGCTGGAGACTTAGAGCCAGAGCATGGTAGTGAAAGAGCTAGCTGCTCCCCCTCTTGGTCAGTTCTGGGAATTTTTTGGTAGTAGAGCTGCTAATTAACATAGCAGAATCAGTTGTCTCATGAATATGCTAATCATATACTCAATAAGGGGGTTGGGAAAAATTTCTTGGCAAAGAGAGTAGAAATAGTAGAAGTGGGGCATAATCCGTGTTTGGGGACCACAGTATAATGAACTACCCCAAAATGTCTAGCATTTTGTGAGACTAGTTTTTAAAAGAAGCAGTTAAAAACTCAAGTAAGTTAAGATGAGCTGCTGTGTTAAATACATTTCTGAATTACGTATTAAAAACTATTGTAACAACTATGAAGTGATATTGCTAAACAACTGCCTATATCAAACTGATTGCTAGATATTTTGCATGTTAACAGAAATTTTAAGGAAACAGAGATGTTGTCTGATGCTAGTCTATTGGGAAAACTTCCATGTCATTTTTGGAGCGAATCTAGCAACTTCAAAAGGGGGGCAGAACACACTGAATTGTCTTCCTGGTTCTGCAGTGAAACCACTGTGACTGTGACCTGGGCCAATTAACTGGGTCTCAGTTTTCCCCTCCATAAAATGAGGGAGTTGAGTTAGATGCTCTCTAAAAACCCTTTGAATTCTTAAAATTCTGTGAATCTTTTAAACATGTGACTAGACCAGCTGCTTTCGTGAAAGGTCTTACAAGATGTTAATTAGCCGTCTGTATGGTACCCTCTATTTTCCCCCTATCATTTCTTAACTCTCATTTACTTTCATCAGGTCTTTGAAAAACCTTCCTACAAGCCTGAAGCTTGTTAACTTGAATAATAGTAGAAATTTTCTGAATTAGCTTAAAACGTACATAAAAGAAATCATTGTCTGATCTATCTGCATGGGCCAAGTGTAAATCAGAGCAGCTACTCTTTCCTTAAGCCCTCAAGGTTCCTTGTTTCCTGTCATTTCATAGACATAGGGTATGAAGCACTCTTCAGACTTAGCTGAAACTGTGTTTTAATCATTGACTGAAAATTTTCTGTGGTTCATATTGGCTATTACTTCATTAAACCAGGAGAAGGAAAACCAGTGTGAAGGCCCAGTGAGTTGGAGGCATTAGAATTTGTAGACCTGCAAAAGTAATGACCTCAGTGGAAGCGAGCTGTCCACTCACCTCCGAAGACAAATATGTTCAACTAAGCTTC